TTTTTAAGAGCTGCTATATTAGCTCACTGCGTTGAGGTGTTGGGGGGGGCAAATAGGGAGAATCACATTCTTTTTGCACAAATTACATTAGCCAAAAGAAGGTACAGTCTGCCTCTAGTACTTAGAGATGGGTGAAAAAGTGTTGTTAATCAAATGAGCTTGACTTCTTGTGCATTAGAATAATTCAAATGGGCTTGAAAATGTACTTATTTATGATGTGAACATAACATCTAACCTGAGTCATATAGTGTTATTTCCAGATGAACCAATTTGCCAAAATCTATGGAAGCTTGGTCAGTGCCTTTTTGACTGGAGCTTTCTAAATCAGATGCACCCTTTCATTATGAATAGCAAGATCTGTACTAGTGTATGAAAATCCTGTTTCATGCATGAATATCTGTTGGGGGGGGGAAGTATATTTTGAATAATTGTGTAATTTAAAATCCTCTCTTGCAGAGAGGTTTTTTGGGAAAAATGAAAGACTCTGGCCAAATCCAAACAATCCAGAATCCTGAAGAATGGTCGAATGACTTCTTATGCTATTTCCTTAGCTCCAACTGAACGACAGCTTGTTTTTTGTATTACACTGAATAATTAGGACACTGTATGAAGTCAAGCATGCAGAGCTCTTTAGGAAGCTCTCTTCCAATGTATACCTGATGTAGCAAACAACCTAACATACTGTCTCCCCACTCAATTTCAGAATGATACAGATCTTGGACCCAAGACATTTGCCCACCTCTATGATGCCTGTTGATGTGGCCATGAGAATATGCTTAGCCCATTCTCCACCTCTGAAGAGTTTTCTCAGTCCCCTTGATGACTGTCAAAGAAACAACTTTGTTAACAGATTCAAGCCTCTAAGGCCGTGTCTCAATTTGAAACGAGAATCTGAGTCTCAGAGCAACAACTGGAACCGTTCACCAAGCCGAGCCAAAAAACGAGTTGTGTTTGCGGACTCAAAAGGGCTTTCTCTGACCGCAATACACGTCTTCTCTGAATTCCAGGAGCATCCTATATGGGATTTGCAGTTCAACTTGTTAGATCTTGAGGACATAACAGCCAGTTTAAAACTACACGAAGAGAAAAACTTGATTCTGGGTTTCTCTCAGCCTTCAGCCGACTATTTAGACTTCCGGAATCGGTTGCAAAAGAACTTTGTCTGCCTCGAGAATTGTACACTGCAAGAAAGGGCAGTATCAGGGACAGTGAAAGTGAAAAATGTCAGCTTTGAGAAAATGGTTCAGGTTCGGATTACCTTTGATACATGGAAAAGTTACACCAATGTTGACTGCGTCTACATGAACAATGTGTATGGAGACTCCGATAGTGATACCTTCTCATTTGCCATTGACCTGCCTACAGCCATTCCCACTCAAGAGAAGATTGAATTTTGCATTTCTTACCGAAGTGGAGAGCACATCTTCTGGGACAATAATGAGGGTCAGAACTATAAAATTCTCCATGCAGAATGGAAACCTGATGGTGTCCAAGTACCAGCATCTACCAAGAAGGACCGTGCCATTGACAACATTCCAAGGAAAACACCAGAAAAAGAAGCTGAGCGGTTTGGACGTCCAAGGATGTCCAGTGGTCTCCTTCCTGCATGGCAGAGTTGGGGCAGAATTGAAAACTCAGCCCCATATTGGTGATAAGTTACAAGACAATGAACATTCCTGCTTTCAACAACTGAAGAGTGCTAGTCTGCCTGTGCTTCACACAGTACAAAACCTCTGAGTAGGTTTTGATTCTTCTTTCAAATCGAAATTCACTTCTACTTGGGCCTTAAGTTTTGTTTCTGTGTGTATGAAGTTTGTTTGTATCCATCTTTTCAGGCAAATGACCATCTTAACTTCTACGTTTTCTTTCTTTTTCTTTTTGTTTTTTTTAAGAACTTCACAGCCCAAAATCTTACCCATGGATAAACAGAAGCCCATTTTTAAAAAGGAAAAGCAAGCCCTTCAGTTTGTTACCTACTGTATATATAGCATGCCTACGTTAAACATACTAAACTTTTTCTGATATTTACTTGCCTTTAATCATTAGGTAAGAAAGACACTAGTGAGGAAGTACAAAGTGCACGCATCTTAAGAAGTGTGGGGTATGTGAACAGAAAGACGCAATATTTTCTGTTCATAATATAATATGTAGTAGAGAAGAGGTATTGCTGCTGAGACTGGCCCTTGTCATGACCCTCTCTACATCCTCATGGAAACAAAGTGCAAGGTTAGGATTCTGTAACAAACACAAGACAGGGAGTATGTTTTTTGTGGGGAGATGGATAATAGAGAAGTGAGAGAAGGGGAAGAGGTAAGATGCACTGTGTATTTTAGAAGTCACAGAACTCTTTGAAAGCTGGTCTTCCAGAAACCTGTGGAAAGTTTAAGGGGTGAAAATGAGCAGTAAAGTAAATGCAGTTATCTTAAATGGCAACCTTTTTGTTCAGACTACTTCTGTTATGCAAAATAAGTGATAGAGTAAAGATGGGGTGGGGTAGGAGGAAATGTTGAGTTTGCCAGTTTTGTCTTGTAAGTGATACCTGTTTTACACCATGGGCCCTCACTTGTACCCATGCCTTACCAAGTGGAAGTTAGCTTTCTCCATTTTAAAAGTAAACTGGGCCTTTAAAAATCCTCATGGATGCCATAATTAGTGTCTGATATATTAGCAGGCCAAGTGGTTTATGAAGTGCCCTAATCTGTAAATGTATTAAATCTGATGAGTAGTCTACTGAGCTAGTCTTACAACTGTGACTCTTAGTGTCCTGTTGCTTATTGCAGAGTGAATAACAATTTCCTTCAGAAATAGCTTCTCAAAGCACTAAGCTTAGGCAACTGAACTCCTTCATATTGAAGATGGTGAGTTAGCTGCATGTCTTAAAGGCCAAATAAAAAAAAAAGCAGAATTGCCACTAGTTTTCTTTCAAGAAAATATATGAATAGTTAAAATCTTGCACATAAGTAGTACAGTCTATTTTCTCATACCTCACTTTCTTTGAAGTTGAAATGTTTGATTAAGGATTTGAGCAAGCCAGTGTATTTTTGTAATTGTATGCTTATAGCAAAGCTACCCAAGCTATCAAATTGGAAAGATTTATTCTCCTGTGAGACAGAAGTGGGAGAAACTAAGAATGTATTGGATTGGACAAAGCAATCTAAAAATACTTACAACATAACACACACTAATCCATGCTTGCTTATTAAGTATGCAGAGATGATGATTGGTATGAAAATACAAGTACTGTTTATGTTCAACTGTCATTCAAATATGGAGCTTCAGAGCTGGAAACTACTTGCAATGCAATGTAAATGTAAACATTAAGGTGAAACAAGCCTCTTCTGCTATATCATATTTTCTACTGTCACTGTACTATGTAATGTAGTTTATTTTATGAATAAATCATATTTTGATATATTTGTTTCCTGAAGGGTCAAAAACTTCTCCCAACTTACCCTCTTCTGGTAACTGTTCTGTCGTTGTCTGGGACTGAAGTGTACAGGAAGGTTTGGTCGAGTCACTCATGCTCTGCCAAGAAGCACAGCAAGAGCTGGCTGAAAAACTGGTACTTCTTCTGTCCTGCAGAAAAATATCAGCAGCAGACATGGTCTTGAACTAAGATGAAATTTAACAAATTTCATTGCATGAGAAGTCCTGAAGTCCTTCATAATAGCTCAGACTACGGGGTTTTTTTGACCAATATTTAAATCATTCTTTCACAACTGAAACAACTGCTTGGCTCAACCTGACCATAGGCTAACCACTGAAGTGTTTACCCTGGGTCCCAGGAAAGTTTTGGAGCCCACGCCAAGCTTTACATAACTGCTGTAGTCCTGCTGCTATCAGTACCCAAACTAACTTGTTGAAAGTGAGGGCAGGTGCGTTACGTGAGCTGCAGTCGCACCTTTTTTGAGTGCCATGTGGATATCCACCTGATGCTGCACTGCAGCTCTTCACTTGGTGAGGTGACAGCAATGCAATGTGAAGGAGGGAGTCCAGGAAGGTTGGGAAGTTGCACCATTAAGGAGAAAAGGGGAATAAGGTATCCCCCAACTATTCTCTTTGTGATGAGCCAGGCACAGACAAATTAATATAAAGCTTCCTTCCTCTACCTCCAAGAAGCTGATCAGTACTTTGACTTGCAACTACCTCAACCTAAACCCTTGTTTCTCACTAGAAGATAAAATTTAGCAAATCATAGGAACACCTATTCCTGTTTTGCAGAAGCCACACTGTCCAAAGCCCATCATGTAGAACATTCTTGACTAGCCTTGAATAGCAAAGGTACCCCCTTGGGAAACTTAACGAGAGTGCTATTCTAAGGGTGCCCTCCCTGGTCTGGGGATCAAACAAGAACCCTCTGCATATCAAAAAGTAACCCTCTGTGTCCTATGCGTGAATAAGTTGTCTTAACCCACACTTGTCAACTGCTATGGGCATGTCTACATCACTTCCAAGACCTCAGACTCTAGTGTGTTTTAGACTAGCCACTGGCGATGACCCTGGAACAGCTTCACTGTTGTGTTTCTGGGTTTGGAGTATGGGAATGAAAGTGGATGGATGGGGTATACTTAGGGCTATCTGAGCCAGGACTTGCCTTAGTCATGGTATAGACTTGCTTTATATGGCCAGGCCACTGTGTACTTGTGAGCTAACTTAAAAATCCTACCTTTCTCCAAAGCAACGTAGTACCAACTTCTCTCCACATGGAAGAAGGTGAACTAGGATGACATTTTTGCAGCTGAGTTGGGGCATATCCATACTGCCTCTGTTAGAGAGAGAGGGTGCTCCACCAATGCATTTCTGCTGTTTGGGAGATGGTCAGCACTACTCTAACATGGTTAGGCAGGGTTTAATTTCCTAGCAGCATTCCCTAGCATAGCTGGGAGGAAGTATGGATGTGCCTTTGAGGGCTTTTCTCCAAAGGCCTAGGTTGTGCATCAGTTTGTGATTTGTCTCTAGCTAAATAAATGTAGTATTACTGGAATGTCTAGAATGGACAGCGGTGGGAGTAGAGTGCCATTCTCCTACACCCAGGCATAGCAAAAGGTTAGTTGGCAGGTCTTCATATGTGTGTGGGTGTATTTGCTTACTCTCTTCCACTGAGCTGTAATGTCACTTAAAATACCAAAGTAAGCTGTTTTCTTTAAACATGATAGTTTTATAGAAACAATGCTTTGCAGTGCATGGCCTTTATATCAGCTCCCCAGGAAAATTATCTTGCAAGGTTTGGATTTTCCCTATGCAAGACAAGTTAACTGTGTCTTCTAGTGATCTTAAGGCAAGGCTTAAGCCCCAGTGTCCTCTGCCGTAAAATAAACCCTTCTTGGCAATTCAGAGGCAGAAACCCTTCTCGGCAGTGCAGAGGCAGAAAAGGATCTTGGAGTCGTCATTGATGCCAAGATGAACATGGGCCGGCAGTGTGGGGATACAGTCAGGAAGGCCAACCATACCTTGTCATGCATCCACAGATGCATCTCAAGCAGGTCCAAGGAGGTGATCCTCCCCCTCTGTGCAGCACTGGTCAGGCCACAGCTGGAGTACTGCGTCCAGTTCTGGGTGCCGCATTTCAAGAGGGATGTGGACAACATGG